TCAAAAACTCCGTACCAAAGCGAAGTCCATGACAAAATCCAGAAAGGAATATGCAAGATGATAGGTCCTGATCTGGCAACTAGTCTACAATCGTTATCCCACAGACATGCTGTGGCCTCCCTCTGTCTCTTCTACAAATATTTTCACGGCAGCTGTTCCGACGAGCTACTTTCGCTGGTTCCCGGAATACATGAATTTAAACGAGCTACCAGACTGGCCACTCGGTCCCACCCTTTCTCCGTCAAAATGGTTACATGTAACCGTCTTTTCTTCTCAAACAGCTTCTTCTCCTGCACTTCCTGTCTGTGGAACTCTTTTCCCCTTACTTGTTTCCCCGATGACTATAATATTCAAATATTCAAATGTAATGTCAATCGACATCTTCTGATACCTTGATCTAATTCCCCGTCCTTCTCTGTATCTTTTCCTCAAACACGTCTCTTTATTCTTGTTCTCAATCCCCTGTAACCCCTTGCGTGCTAGTGGCACTCCCACCTTGCTTGGGGTGAATTGCCTTAAAATAAACCCAGTGCAATCCTGTCCGCGCTCCTCAACCACTTATCGACCTCAATATAAACCCAGGAGAAGGGAGCTTCCAGGTCAGATACTTGGATTGGCAACCCTCCCCCCAAAAAAAACCCCAAAAAACCAAAAGGTTAGTTCTTTCTATCCTTTCGTCAGAAAGCGGGATGGGCTGATCCACTCTAACCACTAAATAATTAAAAAGGACTTGAAAGAAGTGGGGGGGGGGGCGGTCTCTATCCTCCTTCCAGTTTCAACGTACAATGAGGTATACAATCTCAAGCATAAGGAAACAATTTTTATTCATAAAAAAAAAAATGAAACCTTTCAAAACAAATTTCGCTCAGTGTACATTTACTTTGAATATAAAAACGAAGATTTTGCGCGAACTTCCAAAAAAGACAGCTTAGTTGCATCATCACATTTCCCAGAGGATTTGGTAAGGATCGAAATCAATCCCCATAGTTTCCAAAACCATTAATAGCAGCATTCACCTCTCGCCCTGTTCGCACACCTTCCTCGTCTATTGAACAGTAGTAGAGGCTTATATTTTCTTTTATATTTAGGATTTATTTTCCGGTCCCTTCTAAAATCTCTTCATTCTGTTTCACTCCCAAAAACCTATTGTATCTTAACGACATTATTGCCTTGTTTGAGGTGAAATGATTAATAAGTATACAGGGTGCGATGGGTAAACTGTCGCCATTTTATATTTTTAATTTCGCGCTTGCGCGTTGTTTGTTTTTGATTTTGTCGAATGCACAGTAGAGCAAGGTTTGATGGGAATCATCTGTAAGGCAAAGAGCATCATGACGCAATTCACTCCGCCAGGAATTTTGGAAATGGTGTACAGCTTGGCATTCGAACCGGAATACTTCAGAGTGTTTGGATGCAATCTAAGGACAGTGCAGAGGATTCAGAAAGAGTTGGATGACTCTAATGGTGATTACGAAGCTACAGATGCTCGGAAAACTCACTCTGATCGTAAGAAAAGAACTCCAGAATTTGTTGGTTAGGGCCTCAGACTCAACACGAGGGCCTACATCAAGTGCCTTGAGGAGGTAATGCTGCCCTGAGCAACAAGATTCTACACCATGTCACACAAGCAGGGGGACCCAGTGATGGCTGCCAGACAATTTCTGTGACCATATCACCCCATTACATCTGGCCACCTAACTCCCCAGACTGCAAATCCCTTAATTATGTGTGGGGCGCAGTAGAACGAGAGACCAGCAAAACGCATTGTAACATCAAAGATGAACTGAAATTAAACAAGGAAACCGTCCAGAAGAGTTGCAGGGGATTCCGAAGTCGTCTGGAGGCCGTGGTTGAAGCCAATGGCGATTTTATTGAATAAATTTACTCTTTAGTATTTCAAGATATCAGTGTTATTTTCATTTTTTTGCGTAATTCAGAGGACAATTTATCTATCACACCATATCTATCTATCTATCTATCTATCTATCTATCTATATATATATATATATATATATATATATATATATATATGCAGAACATTATTTTTAATGCTACCTTTGTTTTTTATTTTTATATATTTCATTTCATTGCTTAAAAATATAAAAAAAACAAGGGTTGTAACACTATAACACTATGTAACAACATGAATCCACTAAATATAACGTTTAGTGTAATCAATGCATTTTTATAGTAAAATCATTTGCTATGAATTTTTATAGTAAAATCATTTGTAATGCATTTTTATAGTAAAATCATTTGTAATGCATTTTTTTATCTTAAAAATCATTTGCAATTCATTTTTATAAAAAAATCATTTGCAATGTATTTTTATAGTAAAATCATTTGTAATGCATTTTTATAGTAAAATCATTTGCTATGCACTTTTACAGTAAATTCATTTGTTATGCATTTTTATAGTAAAATCATTGGTTATGCACTTTTATAGTAAAATCATTTGCTATGCATTTTTATAGTAAAATCATTTGTAATGCATTTTTATAGTAAAAGCATTTGTAATGCATTTTTATAGTAAAATAATTTGCTATGCATTTTTATAGTAAAATCATTTGTAATGCATTTTTATAATAAAATCATTTGCTATGCATTTCTATAATAAAATCATTTGTAATGCATTTTCATTGTAAAAATCATTTGCACCCATCATTATAGTAAACTCAATTCCAAATGAATTTTTTGATAAAATCTATTTGCAAAGGATATTTTTTAATAAAATCGCAAAGAAAGCATTTTGCAATTCATTTCATGATAAAATCGTTTGTAATGTTTTTTTTTTATCATAAAATCATTTTAATTTGCGATGCGTTTTTATAATGAAATCATTTGCAATGCATTTTCCGTAAAATCCTTTGCAATGCATTTTTATTGTAAAATCATTTGCAATTAATTTTTATAGGAAAATCATTTGTAATGTATTTTATATTAAAATCATTTGCAACGTATTTTTATAGTTAAATTATTTGTAATGCCTTTTATATCAAAATAATGTGTATCGCATTTTATAGAAAATTGTAACGCATTTTCATGGGGAAATCGTTTAAAATATATAAAATAATTTTCAGTGTATTTTATATTTAAAGTATTTGTCTTGCATTTTATATAAATCCTGCTTTATGCGTTTTTATAATAAAATCTACAATGCAATTCTGGGGATATTATAAGGAGGAGGCGAAGGTTATATGTTATGGGATTATGTAGGATAGACATCGCTTGACCCTTGACTTGAAAAAGTTAAGAATGTAGTGCTCTGGGAAGGAAACCTATGGGAATTCGTTCAACATTTGAACAGTTCCGAGGTTGAAGCTGTTTGAGTAGATTTTAACTGAGCAATACTAAAATATCCCTTGACATGAGCATTAGAACAAGAACAGTTTCCACTCGTAAAGTAAACAAAGGGTTCAACTCGAAATTCACTGAAAGTTACGTGGATCGGCGTACAACTGATGAAGGCCAGAGAGCACAACCATTGAAACGTTGTGATTTAAAACAACAAAGATGAGGACAATAGGCCGAATGTAAATAATGTAAATAATGATAACTCCACGTACCAAAGATTCAGACAGAAGGTGATTCAGGTGATAACAACAACAAGGATGTGGATGTAAATAATGATGACTCCTCATCCCAGAAATTCAGACAGATGGTGATTCAGGTGATAAAAACAACAAAGACAAGGACAATAGTCTTAATGTAAATAGTGTAAGTAATGACATCTCCTCATTCCAGAAATTCAGACAGAAGGTGATCAGGTGATAAAAACAACAAAGATGAGGAGAATAGTCCGAATGTAAATAATGATAACTCCTCATCCTAGAAATTCACGCAGAAAGTTTAGACACATTTAATTAATCCTCTCTGCTATATAAAAAGTCGATAAATGACAGTTTTATGTATCAGCCACTTGATTTTCCCCACCAGCAAAAAAATGATAATGATTTAAAAACATAGATGTGAACATTTATCGTCAGTTTCAATGCAGTCTTAAATCTCCATTTTATTGTTTCTCATTCTAGTCAACGATATTCTCGTTCTTCATTCTTGTTAACGTATCTTTTGCTAAAGGACATTGGATTCTTCAATGAGGTAAATCTCGTGTCTCCATATTTATGCAACGCTGATTGCATTTTGAAGTGGCCATGTCTTTTCTTTTGTCATATAACATTGAATCGACGCATCGTTGTATATCTAAACGCTTAGAGAAACATTCAAGTATGTCTAATTAGGATTCGTCTTTCAGATTCGATTATTTTGGCCGCCATTTTGGCCAGTATTTATACTCTTCCCCAATCCACACCGCCATTGTCGTCTGTCGATGCAATTTGACATCCAGGCATCGGATTTTGACGATGAACAGCCGCGACGACTACTTGTTTTCTCAAATAATAATCCGATAATCGGACGATGGAGGGACCCACTAATATCCAAGACTTGTTCGACACATTTATTTTTTCTGTCGGCCATTAGAATGTCACATATTACCTGTCTTTCTTTACGACTACCTCTCACAAACATGCTCATATAATACTCTACGAAGCAAATGTCTGGAAATTGCACTGCCATATTTTTCAGAATATCAGATGAACCGGTGTATAAAACGTACACTTAATTTGAAGATAAAGATTTGGAAAAAAAAAAAAAAACTTCATATCATATTTGAAAGATTTTTAGTGGATAAAAATTAAATCTGATATATTAAAAGTTAATACAGTGTAACCCGGATATAAGAGAAACCCGGATATAAGAGAGATTTTCTCTGGTCCCAAATTAGAGCCTGTGTTAATGTATATAAATTAGACCCGGATATAAGAGACCCGGATATAAGATAAACCCGGATATAAGATAAACCCGGATATAAGAGACTTCTTCTCCGGTCCCGACAACTCTCTTATATCCGGGTTACACTGTATATAGTGTTCTAAACGCAAAAGAACGCAAAAACACCATTGCTTTCATCACCTTCATTGCCAACTACGAATTTTATGTTGAAATACAGGTCCCCGTACGATAACCGAAGTTAAGCAACGTCAAGCCTGGCCAATACCTAGATGGGTGACTGCTTGGGAATACCAGGTGCTGTAAGCTTGGATGTGAGGGTCGTATAATGGGGCTTACGGCCACATCACATTGAAACACCAGTCCCAGCATAAGATCTGAAGTTAAGCAACATCGAGCCTGGTCATTACCAAGAGAGGTGACCGCTTAAGGATGCCAGGTGCTGTAAGCTTGGATGGTTCGTCATGCCTCGTCTAAAATTTCCTGATCGGCTGACATCAGCAGGATAAAGAAAATTCCTTACCTGATTGCACTCTGATGACTTATGGCCACATCGTGTTGAAGCATCGGTTCCCATACGATAATCAAAGTTAAGCAACGTCAAACTTGGTCAGTACCTAGATGAGTGACTGCTTGGGAATACCAGGTGCTGTAAGCTTGAATATGCAGGTGGTGTTATGAATGATGGTTCGAATCATTAATCGAGAAGTCGAGTTCCAATTCCCGTTGGGTTCGTTATAAGCACTTATACGTAAATACATTTGGGATAGATATGAATCCACCATTTCTACCCCAGCTATGGGTTAATTAATAAAACTTGTATCACTAAATTATGATCTCAAAAGATAATTTGGACAATCTAAAAATATCTTCTGGCTTTAAATAATCTGCAAAGTGTTGATAAGCTGTAAGTCTTACTAATTAACCCATAGCTGGGATTCATATCCATAGGTGGATTCATATCGTTCGTATTTTCGCGTAAGTGAATTTAACGAACTCAACTGGAATTGAAACTCGGGTCTCCGATTAACAATTCCGAGCCATTATTCATGACACCACCCGCATATCCAAGCTTACAGCTTGTGGTATTCTCAAGCAATCAACCATCTAGGTACTGACCAGGTTCTTTGTTTATCGTGCCGGAACCAATGTTTCGACACGATGTGGCCGTAAGTTTCTTTGATCATCATAGTGCAATCAGGTAAGGAATCTTCTTTGTCTTATTGATGTCAGGCGATCAGGGAATTTCAGATGAAAACTTCAAGAAACACAGTACCCATTCATTTTGTATGTATATGCTTATACATGAGAGAATGTGTGAGGGAACAAGTGAGAATGAAAGAAAACAAACAACATTTTAATAAACGTTACTACCCTCATGAAATTTGCGCGCCATTTAGAAAGCCAATCGTGTTGTATGTGGCACGCGGGCAGCTGTTACTGTTTTAGACAGTAGGGCTAAGAAATTAAAATGAATGAATATTTTAAAATCTTTACGAAATTGACATGACACTCTGCCAAAGATTATCAAATTTCGACGTGAGATAAGGGTGCTTAAGACGCTGGAGATACGTCAATTGGCAAATAGAAATTTTATAAATCTACCTCCTGTTTAACATCAGTTGTCCTCAATGGTAAGAAAAATAATATAACTAGGGACTAAATGAAGCGACTACATCATAAACGATGCCATTCTTCGAAGGGTCAACCGACAACCATTTATTAACAACCTTTATGCCCGACAACTTAGTGAACCGTTTAAGGGTAATCAACAAGCCAATATATGCATTCGCTATCAACCAACCAGACGATGGCAAAAGCATGAGGGGGCGTCGAAGAATGATTTTTTACTCGTTATCAACCCATGAAAGTCACTAAGACACAAGGGGTTACTGGGTGTGGAAGAATTAGGAACAGAAACATTAATAATGAGCAGGAAGAGGAAAGAGTAATCAGGAGGACAGTAGATAGCGATTGACATTGCATTTAAATTTTTGCAGATTAAAGTTGGCTGGAAAGCATGGAGTCGGAAGGGGGTTTCACAAGTAAGAGAGTAAAGCCACTAAGACACAAGGGGTTACAGAGTGTGGAAGAATTAGGAACAGAAACATTAATAATGAGCAGGAAGAGGAAAGAGTAATCAGGAGGACAGTAGATAGCGATTGACATTCCATTTAAATTTTTGCAGATTAAAGTTGGCTGGAAAGCATGGAACCGGAAGGGTGTTCCAGAAGTAAGAGAATAAAGCCACTAAGACACGACTGGTTACAGGGTGTGGAAGAATTAGGAACATAAACATTAATAATGAGCGGGAAGAGAATAGAGTAATCAGGAGGACAGTAGATAGCGATTGACATTGCATTTAAATTTTTGCAGATTATAGTTGGCTGGAAAGCATGGAGAACGGAAAGGGATTTCCACAAGCGAAAAGTGTGAGAAAAGAAACTGCTAGCATTGAACTTACCAGCTCAACTGTAAATTGATGAGATCTTCACGCCAGTCTAGTACTGCCCTTAAATTTAAAAAAAAAAAAGTCTAGGTACCATAGCGAAGAACCCATTTGAAGAATTACCATGAAAGTATTCATAGAAAAGGACACAGAGAGACAACCTTACGGCGGTGGGTAAGGACTGAAGCCGATATATATATATATATATATATATATATATATATATATATATATATATATATATAATTCCGGAAAATCCTTGTTGACAACACAACTATACTTAAACATGAAAACAATAAACAAAAACTAAAAATTCTTGAAGCTATATACATAACACAGTTGAAACCTAACCTGAAGAAAATAAAGTACGAAATCTCCACAAATATTCTTAAATCTCTGTAATTGATAACAGAAGCCATTGGTTTATACCAACAGTTTCCCATACTTAATACTTCTCGTTTTCACTCTCGCGTGGTCATGTGTGACGTCACGAGCTGTGATGCGATTTTCGCTTCCGCGTCTCGTATATACGTGTTAGTCGTTGCTTTGAAATTTCTCATGCAACAAAAACAGACATTATTGTTCTGTGTATTGGTTGATATATTGAAAAGTAATTGACATCTTTGATAATGGCTTATGTAAGCCGAAAGCTTAGATTGGATTTAAACATGTATCAATATGGTGATTTCCTTTCGTCCTTCAATGATAATGTTATAAGCTTACAATATGAAAGGAACTTACTTAAAATAGGCAAAACCTGCCTATATTATTCATAAACATTCAATGAAATATATATATAATATATATATATATATATATATATATATATATATATATATATATTGAAGTTGATTTCAACATACCATTGAAATGAAAGTTAATTTTATTATGATTCATTTAAATATTTCAATTCGTTCGTGTCAAGACCAATAATATTGATCGTTCTTCTTTGGATTTCATCAAGGAGCTCTAAACAAATAGCAGGGGCAGTGTACCATATGTGGCTGCAATATTCTATGTAAGGATAAATAGTAGACTTATAGATATGTAAGACAGAAAAATCGTCTGGCACGACCCAGAGAAATCAACTTTCTTAGCATCCGATCTAGCAATGGATTCAATATAACCTTTCCACTTCACGTCAGCTGAAGATGTTAGCGTAAGTAGTGGAAACCAGTCACTTTCCGGGAGGTTAGCATCAGCCATACTTATGGAAAGCAGGGCGGGGTCTAATCTAAAACATGCAGAGGACATCACACAGAAAATAGCTGCTGAAGTGTGGATAGTTGCCTCGGGCAGAGAAGAAGGGAGTAAAAATCATATTAACTTGAAGATATATTTTTTTAAATATTTAAAAAATTCTTTGTTTAAAGAAAGCTAAACTATAAATATTTACTCTATAAACAACTGGACGAAACAGCAAAGCGGGATCTCTTTGTGTATGTCTTTATAAAAATATTTTAATTAAAAAAAAATCTCTGTTTGAAGAAAGTTAAAATAAAATACTGTATAAAAATGTCGTATTTTAAATCTTATTCACTTAAATAGAGATTAACCCAAATCATTATACCCCGGGAGGACGCACCACACAAGCACGGACGCAATTTTAGTATTGTTATAGATATATATCCAAAATGAAATCATTGTTTCTTATTATTAGTGGGTACGTGTGTTTGCGTTGCTATCCCTGTTTTGCCTAAATTGAGAAGAAAAGAAAAAAAGGGATGCGGGTTCGATTCTTGGCGGAGGCACAGTCTTTCTTTATTATGTCTTCTTGATCAAAGTCGGTTGTTATTAATTTCGCTGTTTAATAAAATAAAAAAAAATAGGTATCGAAGCTCAAACACGTGTAGCCACTAAAAATAACGTTTGTAGCAATAAGGATAAAATGTCTATAAATATAATCGCAATAAGAATCGTGTATAGTGTTAGCCCTGAGCAGTCAGGTTATTGGCCTGCTTTATTCGGTAACTTCCAGGAGATTGATAACAGATTCAATCGTGTCGAATCACTGATAATTGATATTTAAATCTGTAATAAACTGGCTGTAACAGCAAAATTGTCCAAATCGTGTAACAGCAAAACTGTCCAATTGTTAGATTTAGTTTTGAATCGTTGTATTTTAGAAATTATTAAAGATATCTTGCTGGAATTCTCCGATGTTTTTATAACACTATTGTACTCTACTCCGAGCAATTAGAATGTATAATTACTCTCTAAGCTTAACACAAGAATCGTGAGGAAATTGATCATAAACGAAAATGACATGTTTGTCATTAATTAATCATTTAAACATATTGAGTGAAAGAGAATGAGAAGATTTGAAAAAGAATCGGAATCCTAATCCTAAATAGGAAATAAGGGATAAACCTCTACTCCTGTTCAATAAATGGGGAGGGGGTGTAAACAGGGCAATAGGCGAATGTATCAACTCCTAGTAATCAATACGTTCGCTTCAGTGTAAGCAAGAAAAGTGTAATTTTAGACCTAACCAGCACCTTCCTTAGTATCATATTTGCCCGCCCACAATATCCTGCTATTGTTAAACGGAACTCATCTCAGTTAACGCACTACGACGCACGGTAAACGTTGAAGACAGACTAGCTACAAAAGTCCACGAATTACAAATGTAGCCTAGTCTAATAGCAACACAGCGCCAGTCATCGTAAACTTTTTAAAAACTTAGCAACTCAAAAATAAAGGATTTGCGGGCATATGCTTACATGAACTTTTGTCGTTGTTTTGATTTGAAAAGCTGCCCCCAAATTTGTAAATGTATTTTTGATATACCCTGTATATATCCAATGTTCATTGATTAATTGAAGAGAAAAAATTTAAAAATGACAAAATTTGTATGCTTAATTTTTAGTGAATATATATATATATATATATATATATATATATATATATATATATTCAATTGAATTGGCTAGATGTAACCGTAAGTTCTATGCTAACAGTTTCTTTTCTCGATCTTCTAGAACCTTCTTCCGAGCCCATCCTTTCCGGCCAATTTTGAGCTCCAAAAATTTAAATGCAATGTAAATTGTTATCTACTGTCTTCCTGATTACTCTTCTAATTTTTCCGCTCGTTCATAATGTTTTCTGTTTTCTAAATCTTCCACACCTAGTAACCCCTCGTATCTTACCTTGCATGGCGTGAATTTGATTAAAATATTGCTTTCTGAAGGCGGATCTAGCCCCATA